GGAAGGGAGCCTGGGATAGCCCCGATCCCAGGAGGTTGTGACTCCCCACGGATGCCGATCTTGCCTCTTGTCCCCCAGTCCTCGTCCGGCAGCACCATGTCGTCAGACTCCAGCAAGAAGAGGAAGCCCAAAGTGATCCGCACAGACGGGGGCCCGCAGGATGGCAAGCGGGGCAAGGCTGATGCTGACCAGGTAGGGTGCTCGGCTGCCTCTGCCTGGCCCCACAGGCACAAGCATTGCCTGCCTGCTGTGGCAGGGGGCTTGTGTCCTGCTGCCTTACATGGGGCTGTGCTCACGCCTACTTTTACTGGCCTTATTCTCCCTTTTGGGAAGTTGTGGGACTGTTCCCCTAGAGCTGAGCTGCCTCCTCAAACTGCCACTCAGAATTTCTGAATGCTTCTGTCTTCTTCAGGAAACACCATGCTCCAGGAGTCAGATGCTGCCCTGGAGACATAGACTGAGCACAAGGCTGAAAAGTCCTGTGGGGGTTTGCAGATTGTCATAAAATGCTTCTGCAGGCATCAGTGTCACTTGGGTTCAGCCAGAGTGGAGCGAAGAAGTTGTCACTTTCCCGATTTATTGTCTGCAGTGATGTACTGGTGCAGGATAGATACCAGTTTAAATTTGTAACGAAAGACAACTTGAACGTCCCAAGCGCTTTGATGCCTGGTGGTGTTTGTGTCTGGGATTGTTAACAGAGTCCTCTCTTGTGTGTGAAGTCTCCTGAAGTGTGGGATTAACCCACAGAGCCAGGAGTCAAGATCTAGCAGTTTGTTTCCCAGTGCTCCTTCCAGAGGAGGTGGAAGGAATGAGCTGTGTTTCTGCCTTTGCAGGATGCTAGGTACTACAGTGAGGAGTGCGAGGTGGATCTCCGTGACCCCATCAAAGACTACGAACTCTACAGAGACACTTGCCAGGAGCTTCAGAGACTGATGGCAGAAATCCAGGAGCTGAAGAGCAGAGGCATCAAGGACAGTGTAAGGAGAAGCATAAGTGCTTGATTTAATGTGTTCTGGTTTTTGATGATGTTATGTCTTGATGGGGAATGGGAGCAGAAGCCGCGCCGTTTTCTGAGGAGAGTCAGGAAAATGGAACAGCTTCCCTTAAATAAAGTAAAATATGATTTAGCTGGAGCATTGGTCTTGTCGGAGCAGGTATTATGTAGACTGAGTTCTAAAGTGTGTATGGGTTCCTGGTGGGTTGGGGGCTTCTGGGGGAGGGATTGAGCCCCTCCTGACTGTAGTGGGTGTGTCCGAGCTCTCACCATCCCACGGAGGCCCAGCAGCCTCAGCTGTGGCAGGCTGCGACTGCCTGTGCTGTGGGCTGCATGGCATTATGGGCGCTTCAGACTCAAATGTCTCTGTTCCTGCTGCTGAGAAAAATCAGTAGAGCGAGCCTGGACCCCTGCCAAGTTATTTCCAGCAGGAGACCTGTGAGTGGCAGCAGGAGACTCTCGGAAGCCCCGGTGACATTAATCATGGCTCCTCAGTGAAGTGTGGAGCCCCCTTTGTGTCAGGACTCTCAGGAAGTACCTGCAGCAAAGGGGCTGTGTGGTGCCAGTCATCTCTCCTGCTTCAAACGCCACTCTCCTGCCTCTCAGGCGGCGGAGATAGACGAGCGGCGCATTCAGAGCTGCGTGCACTTCATGACCCTGAAGAAGCTCAACCGCTTGGCTCATATTCGGCTGAAGAAAGGGAGAGATCAAACCCATGAGGTACAGCGGGGACCTGGGGGGCTGAATACAGGTTGGGATTTAGTGGGGTCAGAGGCAGTGCCGTTTCTGCCTGGTCTCTGTATGGATGTGTGAGAGGAGGGTAAGCACCAGCCAGGTGGTGGTTTTTGAATTAGAGGTGTATCAGGAGCCTCTGCTGCAGTAAAGCAGAAGCTGAAATTATGATGAGCGACGAAGGAGCGGTATCTCCTTCCATCTCAAATGTAACAGGCAATCAGGAAGCTTGGGCTTGTTCAGCCTGGAGAAGAGGAGGCTCTGAGGAGACCTCATTGCAGCTTTCCATTATCTGAAGGGGGTTACAAGGGTGCTGGGAGAGGACTTTTTACAAGGGCCTGTAGTGACAGGACAAGGGGTAATGGGTATAAATTGAAAACAGGGAGGTTTAGATTGGATATCAGGAAGAAATTCTTCACAGAGAGGGTGGTGAGGCACTGGGACAGGTTGCCCAGAGAAGCTGTGGATGCCCCATCCCTGGAAGTGTCCAAGGCCAGGCTGGATGAGGCTTGGAGCAACCTGGTCTAGTGGAAGGGGTCCCTGCCCATGGCAGGGGGGGTGGAACTAGATGATCTTTAAGGTCCCTTCCAACCCTAACCATTCTATGATTCTATGATTCTATTTGTCTTGGGACTCTGTGCTGCAGGCCTGAAAAGTGTGTGTACAGTTAGCCCCAAAGCTCCTTACTCAGACCCCTGAGAGCTTTTCACAGCTTGTGACCAACGCTCGTTCTCACTCTGCCCCTGAGGAAGCTGAGGCATGGGGAGGGGACTTGGGCCCGAGCAGCTCTGCCTTGTCCTGTGCCTTGTCCCAAAACATGTTGCATCCAGAGCACAATCAGTTTGGTGGGATGAGCGTTTGCTTTCCCAGCTCTTGAAAATGTCATTTTACCCCACCAAAATTGTTGCGTACCCTAAAACCTGCCATCCCTAGCTGGTGTTGTGAGGGGGGTGCGTATTGGTGACTCTCTTGTGGGGTGTCCTTGCTGGGAGGAAGGTAACGGAGCTCATCCCTGCTGTGTCGGTGTTTCAGGCAAAGCAGAAGGTCGATGCCTATCACCTGCAGCTCCAGAACTTGCTCTACGAGGTGATGCACCTGCAGAAAGAGATCACCAAATGCCTGGAGTTCAAGTGAGTTTGGTTGGGGAGGAGAGGGGGTGATGGGTTGGAGGTCTCCAACGTCTGGGGTCTCTGGTCACATTGGCTGAGTCCACTGTGGGAGGAGAGTGGGTGCTCCAGATACAACTACGCAGGAGAAACGGAGTGTCCCAGAGCTCTTGTGCTGGGAAGCGGGGGAAGCAGCTCATGTAGGGAAGAGGGAGAAGGCATCCGTTGTGGTAGAGGGACAGTGGAGGAGGAAACAGGTCAGTGTCCAAGGCATGGCCACGCTGGTCTCTTCAATGACTCTCTGGCCTCCATGTACCAGGAATTTTCTTCCAAATTCCAAGGCTTCCACCATGCCTGTTGCATGCTGCTGCTGCCAGGAGGGCTGAGAGAGTTGGGGGTGTTCAGCCTGGAGAAGAGAAGGCTCCAGGAGGGAGACCTTATTGCAGCCTTCCAGTACCTGAAGGGGGCTACAAGGAAGCTGGGGGGGACTTTTTACAAGGGCCTGTAGCGACAGGACAAGGGGTAATGGGTTTAAACTGCAAAAGCTAGATGTTGGTTGGACACAGGGAAGAAACATTTTACAGTGAGAGTGGTGAGACTCCGGATCAGGTTGCCCAGAGAAATCAAGGATGTCCCTTTCCACTAACACTCATTCCTGCAGAAAAGCCATTCACTTGGGAATATCTGTTTATTCGAGAAAGGTTTTCAGTTTCAGGCCACTGTGCACCAAACCGTGGGGTTTTTATACTAAAAAGTCAAGGTAACTGCAGAGGGAAGGTGCCCTTATGAAAGGAGGAGCCCTGTTCCGACCTTTCTCTCCCCTGCTGCCGTTCAGGTTGCTGATGCTGCGGTGGCTCACGTAGCAGAGTGAAGCCAGGGCACGGGTCGTTGGCGCTGCCCGCTCGCCTGTGAGACACGGTTGAATTTGGCCGTGCCGCAGCATTTCCTGCCCTTCCCCGACCTGATTCATCTGTCCTTGCAGGTCCAAACATGAGGAGATTGAACTGGTGAGCCTGGAGGAGTTTTACAAAGAGGCCCCCCCCGAAATCAGCCGGCCTGCCATCACCCTGTCTGAGCCCCACCAGCAGACCCTGGCCCGCCTGGACTGGGAGCTGGAGCAGCGCAAGAGGTGGGGCAGCGGCGTCTCGGCTCGGTGCCAGCCTGCTACAGGGCAAGGCTCTTGGCAGACCCCCGGCTCAAGCTCCACAGCTCCTGGGTAACGCAAACGTGGGTGATAAAGGTTTTAACACCCGCTTGAAATAGTCAGCGTAGAACAAGTGACGGATTTCTTGTGTAGCTGAGCCCTTGGCATGGAGATTCGCTCTTTGTCTGGAGCTGGGCATGATGGGGTCCTTGTTTCGGGGATCCTGGGGAGTAGACCAACCTCCAAATCAACTCGAGAGAAGCCCCAAGGCAGCTGTGAGAGGGGCTGCTGGGCTGGGACCGCACCCTGTGCTCTGGGTGATGACAGCAAAGGCATCTTGACTCTCCCGAGAAGCCCACGTGTTCTCTCACCGAGGCAGTGACCATCAGCACTGGCTCTTGAGTGTCACAGGGAGAAAATTAGTTTTACAGCTTGATGGTTCCCCAGATTCCGCTGCTTGGAGGGTCTGGCAGCAGGGAACAGGGGGGGGCGCTGCCTGCTGTAGTTGTGATATTGAGGGATGGATGGTTCTGAGCTTCCCTCCAGAACCTGGTTCTGCAAGATGTGTCACGCAGGGCGAAGTGATTCCTGTTTTGTCTGCTGTGCTGTGGTGGGAGCGAAATCAAGCCAGCCTGACTTGGTGGCACAGCCCGGTGCTGCTGCCACTCCTGCCTGTGCTCCTAACGCCACGATGGGGAGCTGCCTGTGCTGATCTTGGCTGAGCCGTGTCCTGGCGCCAGCAGCCCCCTCCTCAACGCGAGCTCTAACTCCTGAGGTCCCTCAGCTGGTGCAGGCAGGTTGGGTGGCTCAGCTGCTCCATTGCAGCCTTGAGGAGAAGGACTT